CCTCTCTCTCTCTCTTTCTTTCTTTCTTTCTTTCTTTCTTTCTGTTTTCAAGATAGGCTTTCTCTGTGTAACAGCCCTAGCTGTCTTGGAACTGGTTCTGTAGACCAAGCTAGCCTCAAACTTAGAGATATGCTTGCATCTGCTTCCCAAATGCTTGGAATTAAAAGTGCACAACCACCACCCAGCATCATGGGACTAATTTCTAAGCAGCCATTGGGATACTAGTCACAGGAACAAATTCCACTCTCTTGAATAGCTAAGTAGTAGAATGGCAAAGTTAGAAATTATGGGTGAATTTAAATTCCAGGAGCTCTGTAATTGCCACAATAGCATGAGAACCCTGATTATAGATTATTCTTCTGTGACTATGCTGGCAACAATAATATAAATGAAAAGAATCCCAATAACTCTAATTCATATGGTCTAAACTTTACAGACATGGGTAGATATCCACAACAGAATTTGACAGTATCCTGCACAGCAGCAGCAAAACTGGTTAAACCCCTGGTTAGGTTTCCCATGCCTGTTTCCCAGTCTTTCAGCTCCACTGAACTTTAGATTCCCTCACTGCACTCCTGACTGATAACTTTTACAGAAGTCACATAAGGTGTCCTTCAGCTGAGGGGAGCTTTCCTGTCCCTACAAGATATGGAGATGACACCTTTGTCCTCTATTTGGTTTTGAACAATGTAGTTATTGGAGGTCCCTCTGGGAATTCCAGAACATCATGCCCTGGTTCAGGTAACATGGCTCCTATAATCTAGATCTCACTATCCACTTGCACAAATGAAATTGCTTCTGAAATTTCCAAACCCACACAATCTATCCTTCATTTCCCTATCACTCCTCAGATCAGGTGATTGTCCCAGGTCCACTGATTTGTCCCACTCTGTGCAGACTACCCAGGTGTTGCTGCTATCATACACCAGAACTTTGTATAAATGAGTACAGAATAAAGAAAACAATATTGTATGGGCGTACAAGGTCAGATATCTTCATTGTACACGTTTATAAATTGACCCCTGGAAATCTTTGCTGAACTACATAGGATAATCATCTAATGTCATCAATCTGAGGCATCTTGTTCTAGGAAACACCCAAAATTGGCATCCCAAGTGTTTGTTGAGCTAGCTGCATTCTCTAGATTGCTAAAGGCCAGTCCAGAAGACTAAATTTTCACTGTATCCTGCATCAGATTAATCATCTCTAAAACATCAGTAATTAATACAAATTATCACATTGTCTTTGGCCAACAAGAACATGAATAAACTCAAGATTGTACTAACCATTTGCATCCATGTTTTACCAAACTCCAAAACTGAGAACACCAAATGTTCTCAAACAGTACTTTCTTATTAGTTGAATATGAGTATCTGCTTGTAATAAAATCCATGAAACTCTTAGGCAATGGTAGGATTTTGCTCATTGTAACATGTTACCTTGTCTAATGTCTAAACTTTTTTTTAAAAAATTTATTTATTTATTTATAAAAAATTCAACTTCCTCCCCTCCTCCAATACCCTCCCATTCCCCCCACTCCCTCTCCTCTAGGATCCCAAAAAGCTAGTACATGCAGATGAAACAAGACCCAATATTCTGATATAGTACTTTAGAAATGGACTAAATATTTTACCATCTTTTTCAGTACTTCAGAATGCTCTCCCAGCAAACCCTTGGGAATTTCTGAGCAGTTTATGAGCAAGTACATCCTTTCTTGCTTATAGGTCATTTTTTAAAGCTTCATAGTCTCTTGATGTGTGTATAGATGAATTTACACATGGAATTAAGCCTAATATACATCTTTATTAAAGTACTTTCTTGAGTTTTATTTCATGTTGAATTTTCTGGTATGTCTGCAATATTAGCATTGTATAAAGAATTTAACAAATGGAATTTGATTCATTTATTGAGGCTCACAGAGTGGAATTTCAAGGTAAAAAGTGATGTGCTGATAGCAAAATTGTGTTCAGCATTTACCCATGGACAGCAATGTACTGAGGGTTATTGGAGACTGACAGACTTGTGGAGTCTATATATGAGTTCATGATCATGCATAAAAACAGCCCAGTTTGGATGATGTCCTTCAATAACACAGGCTTGCACTAATATTTTCATTTGTCCCATTGAAGACCACTCACTGTTCTTCATGAATGCAAGGGAGAGTGGCTTTCTTTCTTGGGCTCCCTAATCCTCAACATTCTGTCTGTGTTGAGCCCCTTTCTGTGGGACTATGTACTACCATAGTAGTAAGCCTGGAGCAGTGAGGACAAACAATCTGCCCTACTTCAGTTGACCCAAGTGCTTTCTCTCTAATATTGATTTTCTGGTATACAAATTTAGAGGAACAATTAGGAGTTACAGCACATGTTGTATGAGAGACTTTTCCAGGGGAGATATAGTATTCATATGTACCCACTCAGCCAAAATGGGAACTGACAACAGAACAAAGTATGCTTGCCACTGAAATCCATCTAGTTGAACCAATGTGTTTTAATGGTATTACTTACACAAATACAAGAATGGAGTTGTTTACAAGAACAAAAGTGAATCAAAGACAGTTGCCATCATGAAATGCCAAACCAGCACAAAATACAGCTTATGAACACTGGACACCCAGAGAATACTACACACCTGTAGGCATATCTACATGTATTGTAATAATGTATTGTATCTCACTGGCTCAATTATTCTAAACAGCAAGACTGGTATAAGTTTCTTGAATGGAATTAAACATAGTGATTCCTGACAGTTTCAGGAACATCCGGAAGCTATTTTGAGTTTTTATTTACAACCTTAATTACCTTTCCTATAGTCTCCAGAAAACTGACAAACAATAGCACATTCTTCAGGCTTCTCCATTTTGTATTCATTATGAATTATTTGAAAGTGAGAAAGTAAAACATTTTACTGAAAAATTTCCTACATTTGTCACATTTGCAGAATTTTTCCAAAATAAGTCTAGATTTTGTTTCCTAAGATTCGAACATTACTCAAAGGCTTTCACATATTTCTCATATACATAATAATTCCCTAGTGTGGATGCTGTAGTGGTCCATAAGGATAGAGTTTGGATAAAGCATATGCTATATTAGTATAGAAAGTTGTGTCTTCAGTATGTATTTCTTGATGTTTTCTTAGACCTGAGAGACAGGTAAAGGGTTTGTCATATACATTGCATTTACAAGGTTTCTCTCCTGTATCAATTCTTTGATGAGTTCTAAGGTGGGCTTCCTAGATAAGGGATTGGCCAAATTCACTGCACTGGTAAGATTTCTTCCAGTATGAATTTTCTGATGTTTTCTAAGAACTGAGCCACCAGCAAAAGATTTGTCACATTCACTACATTTGTAAGGTTTCTCCCCTGTATGAAGCCTCTGATGTGTTCTAAGATGGTCTTTCTGGATAAAGCATTTGTCACAGTAACTACATTTGTATGGTTTCTCTCCTGTATGGATTTTCTGATGTGTTCTAAGATTGGCTTTCTGGATGAAGCATTTGTCACATTCACTGCATTTGTAAGGTTTCTCTCCTGTGTGGATTCTTTGATGTCTTCTAAGGTGGGCTTTCCGGATAAAACATTTGTCACATTCATTGCATTTGTAAGGTTTTTCTCCAGTATGACATTTCTGATGCTTTCTAAGATCTGAGCCAACGGTAAAAGATTTTCCACATTCGCTACATTTGTAAGGCTTTTCTCCTGTATGAATTCTCTGATGAGTTCTAAGATTGGCTTTCTGGATAAAGCATTTCTCACATTCACTACATTTGTAAGGCTTCTCTCCTGAATGAATTCTCTGATGTCTTCTAAGGTTGGCTTTCCGGATAAAGCATTTGTCACATTCACTGCATTTGTAAGGTTTCTCTCCAGTATGAATTTTCTGATGTGTTCGAAGATCTGACCCAACAGTAAAGCATTTGTCACATTCACCACATTTGTAAGGTTTCTCTCCTGTATGAATTCTCTGATGCTTTTTAAGCTTGGCTTTCTGGATAAAGCATTTGTCACATTCACTGCATTTGTAAGGTTTCTCTCCAGTATGAATTTTCTGATGCATTCTAAGATCTGAGCCAACGGTAAAGGATTTCTCGCATTCACTACATTTGTAAGGTTTCTCCCCTGTATGAGTTTTCTGATGTCTTCTAAGGTGGGCTTGCTGGATAAAGCATTTGTGACATTCACTGCATTTGTAAGGTTTCTCTCCTGTGTGAATTCTTTGATGTATTCTAAGAGATGAGCCAACAGTAAAGGATTTCCCACATTCACTACATTTGTAAGTTTTCTCTCCTGTGTGAATTTTTTGATGTGTTTTAAGTTGGGATTTCTGGATAAAGCATTTGTCACATTCACCACATATATAAGATTTCTCTCCTGTATGAATTCTTTGATGTCTTTGAAGACCCGAGGAGGTGGAAAGGCATTTACCACATTCATTACATCTGTAAAGTTTCTTTCTGCTGTGGGTTCTGTAATGGTATTCAAGGTGTGACAATGTATAGAAGGACTTACTACATTGTTTACATTCATAAGGCCTCTCTCCTCCATGAATATTCTGATGTTTTCTAAGACCTAAGCAGTAGATGAAGGGTTTTCTACAATCATTACATTTGTAAGTCTCCTCTCTAGTGTGATGTCCCAATGAATGATAAAAGCATTTACCACATTCTGTACATTTGTAGGATTTCTGTCCATAATGGATTTTGTAATGTACTTTGTGGTGTGACAAATAGAGAAAGGGCTTACTACATTCTGTAAACTTGTAGTGTTTCTCTCCAGGATGAGGTCTCTGATGTCTACTGAGGCTGAAATAGGTCCTGAAACATTTTCCACATTTTCTGCATTGGTATGGTTTTTCTTCACTATGGATTTGTTTCATCTTTAATTTATGTTTAGAGTTAAAAAATTCATCACACTCTGCATTTTTGTGTTCTTTCTTTCCAGTGTGGATTCGTTGATATTGGCTAATGATAGGGCACAAATTTAAACACTCCCCATAATCTTTATATTTATATTGTTCTGAGGTGATCCCACTTTTATATCTCTTAGGGTTTGATGATTCGTTACAGGCATCACTGTGGTTACCAATTCTGTACTCCTTGCAGTTTTCTGTAGTATCACTTGTGTTATTAGGTACAACTTGGGAGGTACAACTTGGGAGGATCATTTCGTCAAGCTTATAACATTTGTAAGAATTCTCTTGGGCATTCACATGTTGATGGACAATATGCTTTGAACCTTGATCCAAGGCTTTCTCATATTTACCACATATGCAATGGTTCTCTGGAAAATTAGTACAATTAGGGACTAATAAGGATTGGTGCTCGATTAAACAGATTCAATGACTGATGCATCCTTCAGTTTTCTAAGACGAATGAATTAGCAATTTTTAGGAATAAAACTCTCACCAGATACCATTTGCGTTTCAATATTATTAAATGAGTACTCAGAAGAACCTCCACCCTGATCACCATCAAACTACAAGAATCAGTAATAGCCTTTTCATTTTTACCTAATTTGCATGCCTTGCAGAAGGCTAAACAAAACGGTGATAGGGCAATGCCATACTTTGAGAAAGGAGCTCTTCTACTGATCATATGGAGAATGCTTTCCTTTTTGGTTGCTGTTTATATTTTTGAATGAGTCACACTGTGTAGCCTTCATCAGCTAGGAACTCATTATGTAATCGAGGCTGGCCTGGAACTCACCAGACCCATCTGTTTTAGCTTCCCTAGCAATGGGATTAAAATCATGCAGTACCAGGACTAGAGACCATATCTCAAAAAAAATTAAAAAAATGAACAAAAATAACCACATGCACACCACCAACAGTTCTTTCTCTCTTCAAAAATCTCTCCATTCTTTTAAATATCAGAAATAGGTGAATAGCTTAATTCAAGAGTAAAATCAAAATATTCCAATTGAATACTCAATTATCTGTGAACACTGAATTTAGGGTTAAAAATCAGATGAGACTGTTGGAAAGATTATATATTATATAGTATTGTTTTTTTTTGCTGAGAAGACTGAAAAATATAAAGTTATGTTTTATTATCAGAATTTTCCTACTTTTTAGTAGTCTCTAGATAAGCCAGAGAGTTTACATAACTACAAAGTAGGTAAATACAATGGATGAGTGAAGAGTTCTACAAGTAATGCATGCTTACCTATAAAAACTAGATTGCTGTAATTCTCCCACATTACGTCCATGTAAAGAGCCCTTTGAGAAGAGTCGAGACATTCCCATTCCTCTTGGGAAAAGTCCACAGATAAATTTCTGAATGTCAATATACCCTGCAATGGAAAATTACACATTTACCATGTGCTGCTTGACAATATGCTTTCCTAGGTAAAAAGAGACCTAAGAAATCAGAGACAATAATAATATAATATTATTATATTATTGATATAAATATATATCATTTATATAAATGAGGCATGGTATTTTTCAAAAGACAAAAGTTTTCTAACAATGCTGTAGAGAAACCCTGTCTTGAAAAGCCAAAAAAAAAAAAAACCCACAAAACCCAAAAAACCCATGCAGATGAACGCTCATATACATATTAAAAACTTCCCTTTATAAGTCAGAAGTAGAAACCTGTCCATTGCAATCTCTCTGCAGAATTTCTACATATGTAAAACATAGCTTCAGGGGAAGGAAAATATGGGGTAGGATAGATAGCCTTTTTCCTCTGAAAGAAGACAGCAATGTAATTAAGAGGGACATTCATTTATGTTTGAAAATTTATGTCCTATTGCCCTAACCGGCAATTAGGTCTCTCATGGAGCTACCTGTTCTGACCATTCTCCTGGATGTGCGGCATCATTTCTCACACACAGTCCTCGCCTTCTCACTTTTCTCAAAGTCCTACCAGGTAACTGTGTCTCTCTTGGGCTAGGAGCCCTTGGCTCTGTTCTTGTGTGACAATGTACTGCCAGCCTGAGCCTACTCTGTTCTGTCCTCCTCTGAGTACCAGGGAAGCCAGAGGCTCTCAAGTTTTGGACTTCTCTGGGCAGCATCCTTGGGAACTGTCATATACCTCTTTACTTCCATTGGCATGTCCTTTGGAGACCCCCTGACCACTCCTTTCAAATGAAATCTGGGCTCAATGTACCTTGGACCAAGTGGCCGGGTCACTGAGAAAAAATTCTATACTTTCTTTTTCTTTGCTCTAAGATGTGCTTGTTTCTGTCTGATCTCTCTCTCTCTAAACTTTGTAAATGTACTATCTGTATGGTTTTTTGCAACGTGGAGTCAGAGACGGAGAGCCAACTTCATTTTGTTAAGCATACACCAGCTTGTCCATGCAGTATCTGCTGATCTAATCCTCTGTAAAGTATGTATGGATCATTTGTCTGTGAGTGAATCTGATTGCAAATTTTAAAATCTGATTCTTCCTGCATTACTTTCCATGTGGACACGTGTGCTTGTCTGGCTCCTGCGGCCAGCTACACTCATGGAGATATTTCTCCTGCTCTCTCCCCTCTGCCAGAAGCCTGGGAGATGCACAGTTTAAGCTCCAGCCCACTGTATTCTCCACATGGCTCTGGTTTTGTGGCCTGCTGATCCATGGGCTCCCTTTCCTTCTGTTCCTTCCTGGTTTTCTCTCACTTTGTAGCCAGACAGCAGATCCACTGTGTTATCTCTGTTTTCACCTGCAATCTTGCAGCTCGTTTTCCCTCTCAACTTCCTCTGGGAACTTATAAGAACACATTTCCATAGTCTTCCACTTTTTGACCCACTCTCTCTTCCTCCACGAACTTAGATTTTATAATAATATCTTGGCCTCAGTACAAATCAATGGCCCAAACTGGCAAACGTGATTTTCAAATTCTCACAAATCGTCAACAAATGCTATGGCCATAGACAAAAGGTCTCCAAATATCTTAAACAGGCATGCTCTGCTACACTTCCAAAGTCCCTTACCTGCAAGGCTCTATCTCCTCACTCCTAAACATCATTTATCTCTATATTTTTTTTTGCACTTTGCTCTCATGAAAATAATAATATCTGAAGATTATGGTGTAATCTTGAACTCGGAATTTGTAAATTATTCATTGGGTATGGTTTAAAACGTATATAATTAGTAACAAAATTTGGCTTTAAACTTAAAACAAAAGGCCTCTACCATCAAAACAGTTACATCATCACCTGTTACCAGGTGCCTTTCCACTGTCAGCTATGCAACATGGGCACCCTTTAAAGGTGCCCACCAGAGCACAGCTTGCTCTCCTGTCTCATTTCTGTTGCCTCTTCTTTCCTCTCTTGCCTCCTCTTGTCCCCACTCCAACAAGTGTTTCACATTTTCACTTTCTCCCTCCCCTAATAAACCTCTTGCACAAACTCTGTTGCATGTTGTGTGTTTCCTTAGTGGCATACCTTGGCAGGTCCCACCAAAAGGTATCCACTTTGCTTTCTTTTTTTTTAATCCTTTCATTTTTATCTATATATCTTTAAAAATAAGTAAAATTTTGTTTGGGTTTGCCTGTAGTTTTAAATTATGCATAAAACTCAGACTGTTTTTGCAATAATAGATTTTTTTTAACTTTAAAGAAACAGTCAAGTCTGTGATTATGTATGGTACTCATAGGTTTTATTGGATGTCACTTTTCCGCCTTCTAATGCTTCATATTGCTGATCTCCCTAAAGGCATTGTTTGTGTCATCCCAGACTCCCCCGCTCCACTATTGCTGTCTCTCTCTACACAGCTTAATGGCTGCTGGCTTGGCTCAGGGAAACTCTCTCCATCATTCCCAGGCTTTGTTAAAATTCTGATCTTCAGGATATGGGCTCTGTCTTCCTGAAGGGTTGAATGTGGCAGCCCTCGGATATGAGCTCTGAATGGCATGAAACTTGACTTTGGAGAAATAGATGTAAAAAGGAAGCAATCATACACATTCTTCGGCTCTAGTTAATTCCAATTTCTTCCCTGAGGGTCATTTTTCTACTTTTCCAGTGTCTCCAATGTAGAGCATGGAGGAAGCCCTGAGCGTGATAAGTCCTCCCTGAGCGTGATAAGTCCTGAGTGGGTGTGTGCTGTTGACGTGTGAGTTGGCATGTCAAGGACCAATGTCTCATCCCTATGGGAGTGTCAAAGCTCATAGGAATGGCAAAGCCTTCCTTGGATCTCAGTATGAATGTTGACAGTTTGTGCAGAAAATGCCCACCATAGCTTTCTCTCCATGATGCACAGCTTTCCTTCCAGGATGCATGGCTTTCTCCCTGGGATATTTACTACTTGAAGACTTCCCTTAGAGAAACAGCTTCTCCTGAGATGAGGCAAATTTGCCTCCTTATCCAGCTGTATGTAATAAACACACTGAGCTTCCAGGGCTGCTGTGGCTTGTCCATCAGGGGGTCCACACCATCCAAAACTAAAAAACAATTTTCAAAGAAATGTGGACATGACACTGACCTGTGGTGCACTTACAGGAGAACCATCCATTCTTCCTGTTGCTCTTCTCAGTCTTAGCAACAAAGACTGGCACTCTTCTTGACAAGTCACATCAAGGTGTCAAAAGTAACAAGCTAAAATGAATACAATCCTGTTACAAATAGTGCTAAACAACATAAGAGAACCCAAAGTGAAAAAGATACCAGAGGTTTTTATCAACATTCTTACAGACAGGAAAGCATGGAAGGATATATTTAGAGTGATGAAAAAAAATAGCTGATCTTATCACTGCACCCAGAAATGTTGGCTCTTAAAATTCATGGAAAAGGAAGTTCACTTGAAGAAAGTTACAAAATATCACAGGTCATGCACTCAAACAGCACTAAAGATCATAATTGGAGGTAAACTATACATATAAAAATCAGAGAAATTGTCCATCACAACACAGGTAATAAAGACATTTTACATAAAGAATAGAATAGAGAAGAACTGGGGGTAAGATATGAAACCCAACTCAAAACAACAGCAAACCATTATATCTAACTGGAGGAAAGAAAAATATACCAGTAATTTTAGCAACCAGAATATTATTAAAAATCATATCAGAAATAAAAACCCTGTAATATGAAAGTCTCAACAGAAATGGAACTGTCAATATTTTTATGATGAACTCCTATAGAAAGCTGAGCAGAATTTTAGATGATTATATAATATGTCTGCTAAAGCAGTAACTCAGAATCAACCACTTACTTTCTCATCAATTATTTATCCTTCTTTCCTTCCTCTAGAAACTGGAGATAAAGAAACTCCTTCTCAACAAGGTAATGGTATTACAGAAATTCATTCATGCATAAGTCTATGCAACAATCTGTAACTCTTTATTTACAAGAAATTATAGACGTAATAATGGAAATGACCCTTGTTAAAGAACTCACTGATAAAGAGCCTACAGATATCACTGTGTCACCGGGTGGTGGTGGCACACGCTTTTATTCCCAGCACCTTGCCTATAATAAATCCAATCCCACATCCCTAGAGGGTAGCATAAAAACACAGTCAATACATTCAGAGCAATATGTCTTTATAGAACCCAGCTATCCTACATTAACAGGTTCTGAATATCCCAACATAGCTGAAGCAAAAGAAGAAAGATCTTAAAGTCATCTGTATGAAGATGATAGAAGTCCTTAAAGCAGACATGATTAAATCCCTTAAAGAAATCCAGGAAAATACAAAGAGTATAAGGAAATGATTAGAACACTTCAAGACCTGGAAATGGAAACAGAATCAGTAAACAAAACACAGACTGAGGAAATTCTGAAAATAAAAAACAAACAAACTAGGAATTCAAAAAAGAATTACAGAGGAAAGCTTCATGAACAGAATATAAAGGCAGGAGAATTTACATCAGTCAAAATGTTAAATCTAAAAACTCCTGAAAGGAAACATCTAGGAAATCTGCAACATGATGAAAAGATGACATCTATGAAAAACAGGGAAAAAGAGAAGAAATGAAGCTTTTATGTTTTCAATATAATCATAGAACATAAGGTTCATATCCTAAAGAAGGAAATGCTTACAAATGTACAAGAAGCATACAGAACAACAAATACATTGGGCCATAAAAGAAAGACCCTTTGTTACATAAAAATCAAAACATTAAGCATATAGATCAACAAAAGGCTATTGAAAGCTGCAAGAGAAAAAGGCCAAATAACATCTAAGGACAGACCCACTAGAATTACACCTGACTTCTCAATGGAAACTCTAAAACCCAGAATGTCATGGACAGATGTTTTGTAAACCCTAAGAGACCTGAGTTGCCAGTCTAGACTACTTTACCCAGCAAAACTTTCAATTAATATCAAAGAAAAAAATAATATCTTCTACCGTAAAGACAAATTTAAACAACATCTATAAACAATAGACAAAACCAGCCCTACAAAAGGTACTAGAATGAAAATGTCAACTTAAGGAGGTAAACCACACCCATAAAAATACAGGGAATAGATAAACTCAGACCACCCAAAGCAAAAGGGAAACACACACACACACAGAGTTACACTGACACACAGCTCACCACTACCACCACCAACAAATTAACAGAAATAAAAAACCAGTGACCATTGATATCTCTCAATTCCACAATAAAAAGACACAGACTAAGAGAATGGATTCAAAAACAGCACCCATCCCTCTTCTGTATTCAAGAAACACATCTTAACATCAAGCATAGTTACTACGTTAGGGTAAAGGGTCAAAAACTATTCCAATCAAATAGACCCATAAAACAAGCTGATATAGTCATTTCAATAGGTACCAAAACAGACTTCAAACCAAAATTAATAAAAAGGGGAAACACACTACAAACTCTCCAAAGGAAAAATTCACCAAGATGACATTTCAATTTTTAATATCTATGTACCAAACACAAGGGCACCCAAGTTTGTAAAATAAGTACTTCTACAGCTTAAACCACATACTGACCCTCAAACAATAATAGTGGAAGACTTGAATATCCACTCTCACCAATGGCCAGGTCATTCAGACAAAAATTAAAGAGAGATGCTGGACCTAAGAGACATAATAAACCAAATGGTCCTAACAAATATTTACAGAACATTTAATCCAAACACAAAATAATATACCATCTTCTCTGAAACTCATGAAACTTTCTACAAAATTTGACCACATTCTCCAATACAAAGCAAGTCTCAACAAATACAAAAAAACTGAACTAGTTCCCTACATGCTATCAGACCACCACTGGATATCAACAACAGAAGCAACAGTATCAAAATAAGAAATGAAAAAGGGATGATATAACAACAGATACCCAGGGAATATAGAAAATCATAACAGCGTACTTTAAAAGCCTGCACTCAATCAAATTAGAAAATATAAAGAAATGCAGTTTCTTGACTCATACCAAGATCAGACTAGCAATTTAAACAGACCTATGCCCCTAGTGAAATAGAAGTAACCATTAAAATTCCTAGAAAAAAAGGCCCAAGATGATTATAGAGCATAATTCTAACAAAAGTTCAAACAAATGTCAATGCCAATACTCCATAAATTATTCCATAAAAATTAAACAAAGAGAACATTTTCCAATTCATTTTTAATGCCACAGTCACTCTGATACCAAAACCACATAAAGAGGTAGTAAACAAAAAGAATAACAAACCAATTTCCAATTTCCCTTACGAACATGTATGCAAAAATACTCAAAATACTTGCACATTAAATCCAAGAACACATTAAAAGATCAACTACTAAGATCACGTTAACTTCATTCTAGAGATATAGGGATGGTTCAATACATGAAAATCAATAAATGTAATTCACCTTATAAACATACTGAAAAAAAGCACATGACCAATTAATTAGATGCAGAAAATGCTGGTTACAAAATTCAACACCCCTTCATGATACAAGTCCTCTAGAGATTAAGGGTACAAGTGACATATCTAAACATAAGAAAGACAGATTATAACAAGCCTTTGGCCAACATCAACCAAAAATTTTCAACAGAAACTCAATGCAATTCTACTAATATCAGAAACAAGGAAAGGTTGTTCATTCACTCTTTCTGTATCAACTCAGTATAGTACTTGATGTTTTAGCCAGAGCAATAAGACAACTGAAGGAGATCAGGAGAATAAAAATTGAAAGGGAAGAAGCTAAAGCATCTTTATTTGCAGATGATAGGATAGTATATATAAGTCAACATAAAAATTCCACCAGGAAGCGTCTGCAGCTGATACACACCTTCAACAAAGTAGCTGGATACAAGATTAACTCACAAAAACAAGTAACCCTTCTTTATATAAATAACAAAGGGACTGATAGGGAAATCAAGGAAACAACAACTTTTACAATAGCCTCAAATAATACAAAATATCAGGTTAACTCTAATCGAACAAGTGAAAGACTTACTATAAAAACTTAAAATCTTTAAAGAAAGAAATTGAAGGAGATGTAAAAATATTGTAGCATGAGGGCCGGCTTGTTGGGGTTCTGTCCCACCCAGTACCCCACTGGCGGCAACTCCCAATGAAAAATCATACACAGGACTTCATAACGTTATAAACTGATTGGCTCATTAGGTCAGGCTACTTATTATGGAAAGATCTCCCATGCTAATACATTATTAGGATTAACATTGTAAAAATGGCCATCTGCCCTAATGTAATCTCCAGATTCAATGGAACCCACATTAAAATAACAGCAAAATTCTTCATAGACACTGAAAGGAAAATTCTTAGCTTCATATGGAAAAATGAAAAACCTAGAATAGCTAAAACAATCCTGAACAATAAATGATCTGCTGTGCCTCACCATTTCCAATTTCAAGTTATACTACAGAGCCATAGTTATAAGAACTGTATGGTATTAGCATAAAACAGACATATTGATTAATGGAATGGGACTGAACACCCAAACACCTATGGACACCTAATTTTTGATAAAGCCGCCAGAAATACACACTGGAAAAACAAAGAAAACATTTTCAACAAATGGTGCTGGTCAAATTGAATACCCACATGTACAAGAATTCAAACAGATCAATATTTATTACATGTATAAAATTCAAGTCTAAATGGATCAAAGACATAAAACTAGACACACTAAACCTGATATAAGAAAAAGCAAGGGAATGAATGCAAATATAAATTGCATGTTTCTCAAATTCTCTTGGAAGTGAGATGAGGTTAAGCCAGAAATACAATAAATAAAAACCAGATTATTTGAAAGTTATCACCTAAAAATATTTTTGGAACAATCTGAGAATCTGTGACATCAGGTTGTCTACAAAAGTTAGTAAAAAGTAGAGCTTTCCAGCAAGTACTTCTTCCATGAAACTATTATGCTTTGATATTGTACATTTTTTGTTTTATTTACATTATCTGCTAAATATATATTTTCAAACTTACATGGCAAAAATCAAGTGTTTTCTCTGTCAGGGTTTTCTGTAATTATAGCACACACAAATACACATATATTATATTTATATTATATTAATGTCATCTCCTGCAATTGTCTTGATAGTTAATGAGCATTTCCATGATTTCTTATGAAAGACTTTTAGGATAAGTATGGAGAGCAGATGCCACTTATCATTAACTTAATT